TGTGCGTTTTTTGCAGCAAATGGATTCTTGGGAGCTGCACTGGCCATGGGTGGATAGGCAGAGGTTGGTTTTGGTTTTGTGGGCGTTGCTGCCTCTGTTGCCTTCTTCGTGTTTTTTGTGGCAAACGGATTTTTGGGGGCCGCGCTGGCCATGGGCGGATAGGCAGAGGTTGGTGTTGGTGTTGGGTTTGAGGGCGTTGTTGCGGTTGTCTTCTGTGCATGGTTTGCGGCAAACCCGGACCCCGCCGCCGTGGCGGGGGTGGTCTCCCCGGCGCGGTCTGCGGCAGGCCGGGCCGCGGCCGGAACCCTTGGAASGACCGAGGCCGGGGCCGACAGCGTAAAGAAGGAAAGCCGCGGGGGGCCTTCGTTTGCGGCGACCGGGGCTTYCCTCCCGGGCCGGTCGGTGGCGGAAACCTTCCCGGGAGCCGGGGGCCCACCGGGGGGGGGCGGTCCGGTGCCGGGGCACGGCGCCGCCGGGCCGGGCGCTTCGGATGGATGTTGTTGTTGCTGCTTCCTTTGTGTCGCAGGCCTTGCGTCGGTCGTCGCCGCGGCTGGGTTTGGTTCGTTTCCGGAGGCTGCGGACGAAAGCGCCGCCCCAAACGTTGTTGCCGAGGCTGCTGTTGTTGATAGTGTTGTTGTTGTTGTTGTTGTTGCCGAGAACAGAGAGGGCGTCAGTTTCAGGCTCGCAAAGGGATTGCTGGCTTTGTTGACTGTTTCGGAGGCAGGCACTCCCAGGGCGGGTTTCGGTGTGTTCGAGGCACCCGCGGCCCTGACGATTTTTCGCACGGGCCTTGCGGCCGATGGATTTTCTGCATCGGGAGGGAGGTCCCCGGCGTTTGCTTCCCGGTCGGATCCCCGCCCGGAGGCCGAGAACGAAAGTGCCCCAAAGCCGGAGGTTACGGAACTTGTGGTTGTGGTGGTGGCTGTTGCTGCTGCTGCTGCTGTTGTTGTTTTTGTTATGGAGAAGGGCGACGGCGTCAGTTTCAGGTTCCCAAACGGATTGCTCGTTTTGCTGCTTGTCTCTGGGGCAGCCGGTGCCGCAGTGGGTTTTGGTTTTGCCGGGGCACCGGCGGYCCTGACAATTCTTCGCACCGGTTTTGTGTCTGTGGCTGCCGCGCTTTCCGCATCGGCGGGGCGTTCCTTGGCTCTTTCTTCCCGGCGGCTTTCTCCGTTCGAGACAAGGGGGGACAGCGCGGCCACAGAGGCAGACGGGGCCGGATGTGTTGTTGTTGTTGATGATGTTGTTGTTGTTGATGATGTTGTTGATGTCGTCGTCCTCGCCGAGAACAGCGGCGGCGACGGCCCGAGACTCCCAAAGGGGTTGCTGGTGGTCTCGCCCGCCCCCGGTGCTTCGGTGGCCAACGCGGCCCCCGCGGTGTGGGTGTGTCGCACGGACCCCTCGGCACGGGCAGCCCCCGAAGCCTTCGACGAAGCACAAGCACTCGTACAAGCAACGCCACCGGCAATGCCACCGGCTTCCTTCTCGGGACCCGCCACTTTCTTCTCGTCCCGGAAGCCCCCGCCGCTCCCCGGGAGGGCTTTCAGCCTGGGCCGGGGCGACGAGAACCACCGGTCGCGCTTGGCCCTCCAGGAGGGAAGGTCTTGCTTCCGGGCGGCGGGAACCGGGGGGGCGGCGGTCGACATGCTCGTGCTCGTGCTCGCCGACGTTCGTTCGTTCGCGGAGGTTCTCGCTCTCGTGCAAGCTCTCGCTGCTCTGCGCGTCTCTCTCGTCCTCTGGGCAAGCGGATCGGTGCTGTGCTGTGCTGTTCTGTGCTGTGCTGTGCTGTGCTGTGCTCTGCTCTGCCTGGTCCGATCGAACCCAACCCTTGCCGACAACCAAACCAACAAGCCGGTACGGTGTTTTACCGTGATTTTTTTGTTTTTCAAATTTCTTCGGATCGTGTGTTTTGAAACAGAAAGAAATATTTCGTGGACAGTATTTCGTACGGTACTACGAGTACCAGGTAGTACGAGTATTGTATCTGCAAAATGATACACATGTACTACTAGGTACGTACGTACGTACTGTACTACGCTTCGGGGTTTTCGGGAATGACCCAATTTTTGGAGAGAACAAAAAACGAAGAACGGCAAGCACAGGACAAGGAAGTAGAAGTAACCTTTACGGTACGACGTACCGGCCGGTACGTACCGGTACAGACGAGGCAACATCAGGATAGTGACGGAGCCAGATATATGCTCCAATTCCAATCCAAACATTTGTAACGCAAGGCAAAAAAGCAAAACACAATCACATAGCACAGCACAGCACAGCACAGCACAGCGCAGCGCAGCGCAGCGCAGCATACAGTATCAAAGCAGAGCCTGCTTGCTTCATTGATCGATCGAGTGCTCGATTTCCCGTTCCGGATTCCTTCCCCTCCCTCCCTCGACGCATCCAAGGCCATCGCCATGGCCGTCCCGGGAGAAGACGACGAGGCGGTTCTGGAAAGCATGAAAGCCCGCAAGGAGGCCTTTGTGACGGGCCACGGGGGATCCGACCATCCCTGGGAAATCCTGTGGGTCTGTTCCTCCGCCCTCTGGGGCTGCTGGCTGTACGCCGAGCTCGCGGCGGCCGGGAGGGGCTCCGGCGGCCAGCGCACACAAGGATTCCTTCCGGAGGCCCTGGTGGTGTGGTTCCCGCTCGTCCTGTCCCAGACCAAGCACCTGTACCCGTACGGGAGCCTCTGGATGGCCGGGGAGATTCTGCTGGCGGCGTGCCTGTCGGCGAGGCGGGGGGGGACGATCGACCGGCCAAGAACCGGGGGAGACGCCGAGAAGAGCACCACCGGCGACCGCCGTCTCTTCCTGACGCTGTACCGGTCCTCCATCTACTACCTGACCTTTGTGGCCATTCTGGCGGTAGACTTCGACCTCTTTCCCCGCCGCTTTTGCAAGACGGAGGTGGCCGGGTACGGCCTGATGGACCTGGGGGCCGCCTCCTTTTGTATCTCGGGGGGGATTGTTTCGGGGAGGGGGTGGAACCACGACCACAGGAACGGCAAGGGCAAGGGCAACGGCCGGTGGGACTCCCTCAAGCCGCTGGTCAGGGCGGCCCCCCTGGTGGCCATCGGAATCGTCCGGACGGTCGCCAACAAGGAGCTCGACTACCAGGAACACGCGAGCGAGTACGGGGTCCACTGGAACTTTTTCTTCACGCTGGGGGTCCTTGCGGTGGTGCAGCCGCTGCGGAAGCGGATTTTGCTGGGGCTGGGGGGACGCGGGGGGTTCGCGGCGGTGGCGGTGGCCTGGGCGCCGGTGGTGGCCATGCTGGCCTACCAGCACGGCCTGTCGGCGAGGGGGTGGCAGTCCTTTGTCGAAACGGCCCCGCGGGGGCCGCCGCTGGGAGGCGGAGGAAGCACGGTTGAGCGATTCTTTTTCGCCAACCGGGAGGGGATCCTGGGGTGCATCGGGTACGTCTTTTTGCACGCGTCGGGGGAATGGATCGGCCGGTGCTTTGTGTTTGTAGACGACAACAGAAACGAAGACAAGGACGAGCGCGGTGGCAGCACACAAAAGCAAAAGCCTTCGATGGGAAAGCTGGCCATCGCCCTGTGGGTGCTCTGGTGGGTCCTCTCGGGTAGGGGGGGCACCGAACCACTGGGTGGCGGCGGCAACCACGAAGACGACGGCTACTACTACGACTATTTCTACGAACCCTTGCCCGTTTCCCGGCGGTCTACCAACCTGGCCTTTTGCGTCTGGGCACTGGCCCACAACGTGGCGCTCCTCTGGGCCTTTGGGGCGCTCGAGACGTGGCTCCGGACCAGCGGCCGTAGGGAGAACAACAACGCCCCGGTGGTCGTTCCGCCGACCTGGGCCGCCGTCAACCGCCACGGCATGATCGCCTTTCTGGTGGCCAACCTCCTGACGGGACTCGTCAACCTCACGGTACCGACCATCGACACGGGCGACGGCCCGGCCCTGTGCCTGCTGGTGGCCTACCTGGCCGGGATCGGAGCGGCGGTCCACCTGTGCGACCGGTGCCTGGGAAGGCCCCCGCGCCGGGATCCCCTCAAACGCGACTGAGGCAACGCGATGCCGAGCCGAGCCGGCCTACCAACTCCCCGGGGGGGCTGGACCGAAGAGCACCAAACGGATCCCCTCCGGCCGGCAGGGAGGRAAACCCCCGACAAGAGGCGTCGGGCCGCTCCGGGGAGGAGCACTCGCCTGTGAGCGTGTCCGTGTCCGTATACGGATGCACGCACGCAGGGGATGGCGCTGGGCGCTTTCTCTTTCTTGGAACCCGTCGGACGGCACAATGGTACGAGTGCGCTAGAGGGTGGGTCGGCTCGGCTCGGCTCGGCTCGACTCTGAAATCACCCACGCCGACCCAACAACAAAACATGGAATTCCAACCCAAGACGGAACAAAATGAATTGTCCAGAGAGAGGTGTTGATACTATTTTCTCGGAAAAGAGACAAGCTGTTCCTCTCGTAGACTCCGTACAGAAAATATACCATCTTAGAAATTTCCCGAGCAGAAAATGTACCAGGTTAGAACCTTTCTTGGCCCCTTAGGTGGTACTTACATAATGACATCTAGATAGTGAAGCCATTCTGTTATCCTCCTTGCTACTTATTTTGCATCCCCAGAGAACTGAATTAAAAAGTTGGGGTGGGGCCGTTTATTCGTGGTTCGGACTCAATAGTTTTCGACCTTCTTAGGCCGATACACTGAACAGTACTTACGTAGTAGTAAGCCCAAAAAGAGGTATTCGGTATTCGCGGACTTAGCCTGTCGATAGTTTTCAATAGATCTAGTAGGCAAAAGTGCTAGTCGATTTTCGAGGATTTTGCGGTGTACGTCTTGTACCGTGCCGTAGGAGTCTACATCTGACTTCGTGTACTGAAGAATACCGTATGGTATGTCTTAGACTTGCAACAGTTTTTCGTTTCAGATACAATTTCCGTCCTTACCACGATTTCAATCGAGTTGATTCATATCCGAGCGAAGCATGCCGATTCGAAAAATGTTCGACCAAAACCTTAAAAATAGATTAATGAGGTGCGCGTTGAATTACAACGAACAATCGTCAATGACAGTAATATGCCTAATTCTTGCTCTCAGTGCGCGAAATTATTATGATGGCTTGAACTGATACTTTTCAATTACAGAAATGATATTTTTATTTTCAATCAATGCCAGCAACTGTCAAAATAAAATATCAAAAAGAATGATATCGATCAGTATGGACTGCGGCTCCTCGGTCCGAAGATTCTTCTATCGATGTCACATTCCAAGAATTTTCCGATGACCAGTGTCAACCAAAGTGTTTGCTACATTTAATTTCTGAATGGTTTCTTGGACTGTAATTTTTTTCCAAACGATGACTCGAAGCTGGAAGGTCCTATATTGTTTTACCATGAGTGTTGAGTTGGAAGCAAGAACAACTCCAATTCACGAAAGGGATCCAATGCGAGCGTTGAACAAGCGAGCGCACGATTACCGATGATATTTTATCCCGTAGGAGCAGCTGGTGGGTCTTTCCTATCAATAAATCTAACCCAGCATGTATCGCATCAGCAGACCATCATCGACTCCGTTTTGATCGCTTTTTGTCGACACCCGAAGACCCGTACGCGAAGAAACAAAACCAAAAACAAAACAAAACGGTGAGGAAATAATGAAGTGTTTTGTGGTTGTATAACTCTCCGTTTAAAAACAACGAGTGGATGGAATGCCATGCCGGTCTTTGCTCACCCCATCATAAAAACTTAGTTCCTCATCACCAAAATAAGGGTCACCACACTGTACGTGACAGTTTTAATAACCATAGAGCAAATAAGATATTGTATCAACGGGTAATATCAGCAGCGAGACAAACAATACCCTTCAAGAAAGTGTGTGACCGAATCCACCAACAGCTCTGCCCTTCTAGACGACTCTGGTAAACGCTCTGTAAACACCAGAGCAACGCAAGCGACATGCGATCCTTGCGATACATCCTGTTCTTGGCGACTGCCGCCGTTGTAGCGATGGCGGTCGCCACTGGAGAGGCCAACTCCTCCACACTATCCGCAGTGAGGGAGGAACATCCAGAAACACTGGATTTGAAATTCCGCGTTCGTCGTTATCCCAACGATGAAGACGATGTCGAGATCGACGAAGAAGACGACAATGATGATGACGATGATGATGACGATGATGATGATGACTCCTACGAGGACGAGGAGGAAGATGCATTGAGTCTGGACACTGACAATGCGCACCAACCTGCTGACGGGGAATCAGTTACCGAAGACGCTGCGATTGGTGTCGAAGACGGACGAAGAAAGTTGTACAACGAACGGTTTGAAGATCGAGTTAATGTATACTCAAATATGAAAAACGGGGATACCGACGACAACCAAACTGGGCAAGCTCTGAAAAAGAACAGAAAGAAAAAGAGAAATGGTAGAAAGGCCAATGGGAAGAATAAGATAAAGAAGAATAGTGGATTCTCCGAGAAGCAGTGCAAGCGGCTGAAAAGAAAATTCAAGCAATGCAAAAAGAAATTGGGCAAGGGCAAGTGCAACAAGTTGAAGAAGAAAAAGAAGAAAAAAATGAGAATGAAGTGCAAGAAGAAAAAGAAGGCGTGGAGAGCCTGTGAGAAATGGCTGAAGGAAAACCCAGAAACATCCGCCCCCGGGGAATCTTCGGCACCGTCCTTATCACAATCGCCCTCCGCGTCTCCGTCCTCCAGCACCAATCCCACCATTTCGACATTTCCAAGCATGGTACCAACAGTCTTAAGTTTCGAGAAAGAACGGAAGAGCCCCAATATTGATTCTATTGGCAAACCAAGTTCTTCACCATCTATGGTTGGCGGTAGGGACGGATTCCTCGAATCGCAGAGCCCAACACTCGAGAAGATCATCATACCGAACGCCAGTGCATCTCTTACAACAAAGGCGGCCTTCGACCAAAATACGGCACCATTAATTGTGGAGGCCTCGTACAAAGTGGCTGTCCTCGAAATCTTGAAGGGATTCGACATTCTGGAAGACGACATCGTCGTTGACGTTGCAGCTACCAGGGCAGATTGTGACCAAGTCTCTACCAAGCACTGCTTCAAGGTAGACTTGACCGTCAAGGCCGCCCCAGGTTCCAGCGTCGACCCAGATGCTGCCATTCATTCGATCAAGGAAGCCATAGCGAACCGAGACTTTGCTACCAAGATTCATGAAGCATCAGGTTTAACCGGTGTCATCATTTCTCCTTCGGCAAGCTCCACTTCTACCGCAGCTTTCGATGCGAATGATGGAGTTACAGTTGAGGATGTAGAGACTGCGTACAATGATGCTATCAAGACCGTACTTCTAGATTTCAATATCATGGAGGACGATGTACTCGTCGGTGTGAATGCCGTAGAAGCAGAATGCGGTGCTGAAGTTCCGAGCAATAAGGAATGTTTCAGAGTCGTAACAGATATTACGGTCTCCCCGACTTCGGAGATTGATCCAGAAACCGTCATGAAAAAGATCGAAAAATCTATCGCCAAGGATGATTTCGAGAAGGAGGTCGAGACAGCGTCTGATTTGACCGGTTCGTCTATTTCAATCCCAACAGAAAAGTTAACTTCCATTACCGCCGCGGTTGTTGACGAAAATCATGCCGCCGATCCGTCAACTGTAGCGTCCGCGTACAAAGTAGCTATCGATGACATTCTCAAAGATTCAAACATCGACGAGGACGATTTTCTTGTCGACATCCAAGCTGTCGCTGTTGACTGTGGTGAAAGCTTACCTGGCAAGAAGTGCTATGAAGTGGTATCCGTGATCTCCACTTTCCCGACTTCGGATGCTGATCCTAGCACCGTCCTTGACATAATCGAAACAGCAGTTGGCCAAGGTACTTTGGCAGATAAGGTTGATGCTTTGGGTTTGGATGATGTAATTATTTCAAATGCACCGTCTTCGTCTTTTATTACGTCGGCATCTTTTGGTCCAAAGACCATTGCCGGGAAAGATTTGACAGTTGACGACGTGGAGAGTGGATACAAAACGGCGATTATGTCCATCCTTGAGGGAGCCGGTATTTCTGTTGATGATGTCACTCTTGATGTCGATGTAGTCGAAAGGACCTGTGATGCCAAGGAATCCGACAAGAGGTGCTTCGGTGTGGAAACCACAATCACTACTTCCCCAAGTTCAAGTGTCGACCCAGAAGCTGCCATCAAATTGATCGAAAAGCTCATCACGAAAGAGGACTTTGCTGACACTACCGAGACAACAGGTTTGGTAGATACTGCTATCTCGAGCGTGCCATCTTCGACTTCGGTCACGATTGCATCTTTCGATCCTACTACATCCAAAGGAACAGAAACAGCAGCCCATGACGTCGAAGTCGCATATGAAAAAGCAATCAAGTCCATCCTGAGTGAATCTGGCGTTATGGCCAATGATGTCGTCGTTGATGTTGTAGCAATTCCTGTTGATTGTGACTCGTCTGCCGAGAAGTGCTTCAGCGTCAAATCTAAAATCACACCTTCCGTGTCGTCTGACCTCGATCCAGAAGATGTGATCGACCTGTTGGAAACAGCTATTACCCAAGGAACGTTCACTGATAAGATCGAGACAGGTTCTAATTTGGAAAATGGAATCATATCGAATGCACCATCATCAACTTCCATCACAAATGCGTCGTTCAATGAAGAGACCATTTCAGGAAAACCGGCAACAGTAATGGATGTGGTCGGTGCATATGAAAAAGCTATCGAAGATTTTCTCGAGAAGGCCAACATTGTAAACGGTGTTGATGTACTTGTTGAAGTTGACGCAATTGAGACCACCTGTGATCCGGCCTTATCAACCAAGAAGTGCTTCGCTGTGGAGATAATCGTGACAGCTGCGTCGGACTTTGCTGTCGATCCGGATTCTGTCATTAATAAATTACAAATTGCGATCGATCACGGTGATTTCGCAAAGAAGGTCGAGGTGGGATCAGGTTTGGCACAAGCGATCATCTCCAGTGCCCCGTCTTCGTCTTCAGTTTCTACCGCCGAATTTGGCCACGACACCACAACAGGGGAAGCTCCAAATGCCAATGATGTGGAAGCTGCATATAAAGAAGCAATTGGAGAAATCCTTGATGTAGCCAATTTTGTTGCTGAGGACGTTATAGTTGAGGTCGGAGCAATTGAAGTCGATTGTGCTGTCAATACCACTGATACTAAATGCTTCAAAGTTGAGACAATTGTAACAGCAATGCCAGATTCTGAAGTTGACACCGATGCTGTGATCACAGCAATTGATACTGCCATTGTTCAAGAGGACTTTACGAAGGAGATTGAGAAGCTGTCAGATTTGACAGACGCCATTATCTCCTCCACACCATCATCATCTTCGATTTCTAATGTTGTCGTTGATGACAATGATTTAGCAACAGAAGAGACTATTGAAGAGGGATACCAGGTAGCTATTGAAGACATCCTAGATGAATCAGGTATCACACCTGACAATATCTTTGTAGAAGTTGAAGCTCTTGAGACAGAATGTACGGACACCTCGACAGAGACCAAGTGCTTCACAGTTGAGACGACGTTGACAGCTTCCCCAACTTCTGATGTTGATCTATCCAATGTGATTCAAACGATAGAAAATGTCATCGCTGATGATATGTTCCAAGAAAAGGTCGAGGACGTGACGAACGCTAGTGGTACTGCTGTATCCATCCCACTTGAAACTGCCACCTCTATTTCAAATGTTGCGCTCGAGGAAGGCTCGGCAACAACAGCCGAGGAGATTAAATCGGCATACGAAGAGGCAATCAAATCCATTGTTGATGAAGAAGATATCATGGAAAATAAAGTGCTTGTTGGAATCGAAGTAGTCGAGGCGGAATGTACAACGGATCTTGCTGCAAAGAAGTGTTTTACTGCTACGTCGACCATTTCGGCTACCCCGAGCTCTGATGTCAACCCGACGGATATCATTGAAAAGATTGAGCAGGAAATTGCTAAAGGTACTTTTGAAGAGAAGGTCGAAAAAGCACCAAGTGTGACTGACTCAATCATCTCAAATGCACCATCTTCAGTTATAGTCAGCACAGGAGTTTTCGACCAACTTACAACGGAAGGGGCAATAACGACTCCTGCTGATGCGGAGGCCGCATACAAAGAAGCCATTAAGTCTGCCCTCGAAGAATCAAGTATTGTTGTAGATGACATTCTTGTGGAGGTCGAAGCTGTCGAGGCTGAATGCGACAATGCACTCTCTGACAAGAAGTGCTTTGATATCATATCAACCATCACAGCTTCTCCAAGTTCCGGCATAGATATTGATGCTACTAGTGAGAAAATGGAATCAGTCATCGTAGACGGTACATTCGAAAATAAGGTTGCAGAAGTGTCTGACCTGACAAATCCGAGTATTGCAATAGCGTCACCTTCAATTTCCATCACAAGCGCAGTATTCGATGAAAACACCGCGACTGGCACAACCACAACAGCTGATAATGTTGCGACAGCTTACAAGGAAGCAATTGATGAGGTTCTCAATGATGAAAGCCTTGACTCAAAGGATGTTGTTGTTCAAGTTCAAGCGGTTGAGGCTAACTGTGAATCAGGTATCATTGCTAAGAAATGCTTCGATGTCGAAACATCAATCATTGGTATGCCAAGTTCCGGTGTTAATTCAGATAGCGTCATTGAAATGATTGAAATAGCTGTTGCCAAAGGTGACTTTGAAGAACAGTTGGACGAAACAACTGGATTGACAAATGCTATCATTTCGAATGCACCATCTTCCACTTCTATCACCACCGCGGAATTTGAGGAGAATATAACTGGAGGAGTAGCCACAACAGCGAATGATGTGGAGGCTGCATATAAAACTGCTATTGAAGGCATCCTTGAGGAAGAGAATATCGCTTCCGATGATGTGTGGGTAGAAATAGAAGCTCTGGAGAAGGGATGTGAATTAGCTTCTGCGTCCACTAAAAAATGCTTTCAGATTGAAACAACTGTGACAGCATCACCATCCACCAGTGTCGACACGGAAGAGATCATTGACCATATCAGGACTGCGGTTACCCGGGGGGACTTTGCGGATCAGGTTGAGACAGGTTCAGATCTATCTGGCGCACTCATTTCAAACGCACMATCTCTGGAATCAATCACGCACGCCGAATTCAATGAAACTACAGAACTTGGAGCGCCAACAACATCTGATGATGTGGAGTCTGCATATGAGAAAGTAATCCAATCCATCCTCGAGGAGACAGATATCAAGGCAGATGATGTTCTTGTTGAAGTCGATGTAGTTGGAGTGGATTGTGATGCAGATATGACCGCTAAGAAGTGCTTCAAAGTTGAGTCACTTGTAACAGCTTTGCCAGGTTCTGATATTGATACCGAGGCTGTCATGGATACAATTGCAACAGCTGTTGGTAAAGGTGACTTTGCAGAGAAGGTTGAATCACTGTCAGATTTGACAGATGCTGCTGTTACGTCTATAGAAGCTCTATCCTCCACTTCCAGTGCTATTCTTGATGATGATGCTTCGGCAACGCAAGCAAATCTTGAAGCAGGATATCAAGTAGCCATTGCAGATATCCTAGATGAATCAAATATTACACCTGATGATGGTTTTGTGGAAATAGAAGTAGTTGCAGTGGATTGCGATGCTAAGTTTTCGCTGAAAAAGTGTTTTAGCGTGGAGACAACGTTCACAGCTTCCCCAACTTCCAATGTTGAACCAGCAACCGCGATTGAAGCTATTGAAATGGCCATTGCGCAAGGGAATTTTTCCGACAAAGTCGAAGCAACAAGCGAATTGGTAAACACGAACCCAATTATTTCTGTTCCTCTTGTATCAGCCACATCCATCTCAAACGCTTTCATTGATCAGGACGCTCTTGCAAGCAATGATGATATTCAATCAGGATTTTTAGAAGCAATCCAAGATACTCTAAATGAATCAGATCTAAAAGAAAACATCCTTGTTGAAGTGGAAGTGCTAGAGGCGGAATGTAGCACCGAGTTGAATGAAAAGAAGTGTTTCAGTATCAAGTCAACCGTCACAGTAGCCCCAAGTTCTGGCACAGATCCAGAGACTGTAATGGATAAGATTGAAGTGGCGATTGCTGAAGGTAAACTTGACGTAAAAATTGAAGCGTCACCAGGTATCACAGGTGCGGGAATTTCAAACGCCCCGTCTTCAACTTCCCTTTCAAGCGCTTCATTCGGTGATTCTGCGACAGCAGAGGATGTAGAGGCAGCATACGAGGTAGCCATTACGTCTACTCTTTTGGAAGAGAATATTGATTCAGGTGATGTTCTAATTGACGTGGAAGCAGTTCAAATCGACTGTGATAAAAACTCGTCATCCAAGAAGTGTTACGTTGTTGAGTCAGTTATCACAGCTACCCCATCGTCTACTATCGATCCAGCCTCTACAGTAGAGAAGATAGAGAAGTCGATCGACGAAGGTGACCTTGCCGGCCTCATTGAGACTTCATCGGGTTTGGTTGACGCAGTCATTTCGAACGCACCTACGTCGACGACAATTGCAACTGCATCATTTGGAGATGATATCTTAGCAGGATCACAAGACTACGTGGAGAGTGTATTGGAAGTGGCAATCAACGATGTCCTCACTGAAGCCAATATTTCAACCGATGATGTTCTTGTGGAAGTAGGATTAATCGAGACCACCTGTGACTCTTCGGAAACAGAGAAGAAGTGCTTCAATATCGAATCGACCGTTACCGCTTCTCCTTCCACTGGTATTGATCCTAAGGATGTCATCGAAGAGGTGAAAAAGGCAATTGACAAAGGTGACATTGTCAACGCGATTGAGACGTCATCGAGTTTGACAGATGCGAATATTTCGAATGCCCCATCGTCGACCGCGGTTACAACGGCGGCGTTTGATCAAAATGATGAAGCATCGGCAGAAGACGTGAAAAAAGCATATGAAGACGTAGTCGAAAATATTTTGACAGAAGCCAATATTTCCACGAATGATGTTCTTGTTGAAGTTGAGGTAATCGAAACTACATGCAAAACTCATATGTTATCGGACAAGAAGTGCTTTGATGCCGAAGTATCCGTAACAGCTCCACCTTCCACCGGAGTTGACCCGGGATCTACCATTGAAAAAGTCAAGGAGGCCATTGTCGGGGGCGATTTCGTGGATAAAATTGAAGACACTTCCAATTTAGAAGGTTCAATAATTTCATTGCCAATCCAATCGAGTGGCTCCGATTCTACTGCAGCAGTTGATAAAGTTACGACCACAGGACAGCCTGTTGGGGCCGATGATGTGGAAGAAGCATACAAAGAGGTAATCGACTCTATTTTGGATGATTCTGGCATTAGTAAGGATGATGTTGTTATCGAGGTTGAAGCAGTAAAGGCCAACTGCGACGCAGAGTTATCATCAGACAAGAAGTGCTTCGATGTTGAATTTGTCGCCACCGGATCATCTCCAACTTCGGTAGTTGACCCTGATGATGTATTGAAACAGGTGAAGGAAGAAATTCTCGGAGGTGGTTTTGCGGAAAAGATGGATGAGAAGTCCGACTTGGAAGGCGCTATTATATCATTTCCGCCGCAAACAAGTAGCTCAAATTCTGATGCAGTGGTTGATACAGTAACATCAACAGGAAAACCTGTTGTGGCTGAAGATTTGGAAGAAGCATACAAAGAAGTTATCGAATCTGTTCTGGCAAATAATGACATTGACAAAAATGAAGTCACCATTGATGTCAAAGCAGTTGAGGATGACTGCTCAGTAGATGTATCCTTGGAAAAGAAGTGTTTCAATGTTGAATCTGTTGTTACAGCTGATCCAAACTCTGAAGTAGATACAGATGAGGTCATAAAAGATCTGGAAAAGGTCATTACCGATGGTGATGTTATTGTGATGGATCGTGACAAAGACTTTGAATTTGTTCCCTCATTGCCACCGGTATCCAATACCTTCAAGTCAGATGTAGCAGTTGACCAAGTTACTGCTACAGGAAAATATACTGGAGCGAAGGATGTAGAAGGAGCTTATAAAGAAGCATTTGAAACTATTCTGGAAGATGCCGGCATTGCTGCAGACAATGTTAGCGTGAAATTCAGAGCAAAGGAGAGTGAATGTGACAATTTACCTACCGGGAAAAAGTGCTATACTGTTGACTCTGCTGTCGCCGTTACTCCAGAGCGAGGTCAGCATCAAGAAGATATTGACCAAAAGATCAAACAGATTGTTAGAGCAGTCTTTGATGCAATGCTTGATGGTGACTTTGCTGACAACGCTGACAAAAAGTCAGATTTAGAGGGTGTAATTGTTACATTACCACTTCAAACTAGTAGCAGCAATTCTGAGGTAGTAGTTGATAAGATTACCGAAATAGGAGAAGTCACTGGGGAGGAAGATGTAGAAGGAGCATTCAAAGATGCAATCAAATCCGTGCTCAATGATAACAAAATCAGCATGGATGATGTTGTTGTGGAAGTGAAAGCAGTAGAGAAGGAATGCAAAGATTTGCCCTCTGACAAAAAGTGCTTCGATGTTGAATCTGTCATCACAGGATCATCTCCGACCTCAGTTGTTGATACCAACAACGTCATTGACGAGATGAGGGATGCAATCCTTGGAGGAGAGTTCTCTGAGAAGGTGGACGAGAAGTCTGATTTGGAAGGTGCAATCATATCATTACCACTTGAATCCAGTAGTTTCAATTCTGATGCAATAGTTGACCAAAACACTGAAACAGGGGCTCCCATTGAGGCAGGAGATATGGAAGAAGCGTTCAATGAAGTGATAGAGTCTATTTTAGAAGATGATGGCATCAGTGTGACTGACGTTGTTGTTGACTTGAAGGCACTCGAGGTTGATTGCGATGACTCCTTATCGGACAAGAAGTGCTTCAATGTAGAAACCACCATCACAGCTGATCCAACAACCGGAGTTAACACTGACGATGTCGTGAAGAAGGTTGAAATAGCTATTGCAGAAGGAGACTTTGGCGTCCAGGTGGACGACAAGACAGGCTTGGATGGTACGAACATTTCCTTGCCAGAGGTTCCAAACGGTATTCCATCGGCCAGTACTATGACAAACGCAGCATTCGTTTATAATACAGCAGAAGAGGTCGTAGAAGCCAGTTATGAAGTGGCCATCGTAGATATCTTGGAAGAATCAAATATTATGAGTGAAGGCGTTGTTCTTGAAGTTGAAGCTGTCGAGGGTGAATGCGGAGCCAATTTGTCCGTGAAAAGATGCTTTGAAGTAGGAATTACTGTAGGTGCTACTCCAAGCTCTGGGATCGATCCTGATATTGCCATGCAAGAAATTGAAAAGGCAATATCCGAAGGTGCTTTTTCGGAAAAGATTGAGAGTTCAGGAGTCTCGGGTGGATTCTTCTCTTTAGGACCTTTGAAAGGACCATCTGCCATCTCTACTTCCAAATTGAATGTGGCTGATGAAAATGCGACAAGTGAGGATGTGAAAACTGCTTACAGCGGTGCAATCGAAGACTTAATTGAGGAGATAAACATTGATGCTGATGCCGTTGCTACTGACATCAAAGTAGTTGAGGCAGATTGTGAAGGAAGTGCGGAAGGAAAATGCTTCACAGTCGAAGCAGTTGTCACAACTTTGCCAGGTTCTGGTGTCAATCCAAATGACGTCGTTGAAAAGCTCGAAAGTGCCATTTTACAAGGTGATTTCGACGATGTTCTGATGAATACAGGTTTGTTAGAAACAGCAACTTCGCTGCTCGCCTCGCTTGATTCCAACGTGTCTTTCGATAATCCCGCCGCGACAACCGACGAAGTCGAGACTGGATACGATGAAACAATCAAAGCAATCCTTGAAGAAAACGGCATTGCAGACGGCGTCAAGGTTCATATCGATGCTATCCCGACCGACTGTTTATCAGGAAGTGATGGGTCGTGCTTTGAGGTGGAGTCCAATTTTACAGCTGTTCCAGGAACTGGGGTTGATCCAAGAGATGTAATTGAAAAAGTTGAAGAAGCAATTAAGGAAGGCGATTTTTCCGACGTACTCGCGCAAAAGCCAGATTTGACAGGCGCAGATGTTTCAGTTTCATCCAGTCCTTCGGGGGCACCCGTTCCCGGTACCGATGCCCCCTCTGGGGCACCCACCGATACTTGGGCGCCCACTACCTTCCTCCCGAAGTGCAAAGTTTCGCGCAAATCTGATCTAGATGCTGTTGTTGACGTCTTGACAGCCATCGATGAGGGATGGATCGCTGCCACTTTCAATCGCAGATTGGAGAATGTGAGGTGCGTCGATTGCACCGGAGTTGAATTCGTCGATTGCCGCGACGTAGAATGCGTCGCGAGAAACTCTTGTGCGAATACATCATTTAAAAGTACGGTCGACACTTTTGATCCATCCATATCGGAGGAAGAACAAATGAACGTGCACTGCATTGGAGATCACAGTTGTAGGAGCGGTGACTTTACAGGCATCGATGCCATCACCTGCCGTGGAGAAGATTCCTGTGCCCAGGCAATTGTCAAACGCAGTTACGATTTGGAGTGTGCGACTGATAACTCCTGCAGAGGCTTAGAATTCCAGTAAAGGAGATTGGAACACTGAAGTATCGCATCTCTATCAATCGCCTGCCAAGTAAAGTCCAGTAACTGGAGTCTCAATGGGGCAGATCCAGTAGAGTACGGAAAAAAATTATCATGCGTGTTGTTAAAAATGAAAAAAATTGTGGATAACAGAATGAATAAATTAGAACAGCATAATTCTATTAGTATTATTAGCATCTTAAATGATTTTCCTTCTATAGGAAAGCAATTCTGACAGCCACTACTTAGTGTCAGATAGCTAGTAGTAATGATGTTAGGGCGATAGTGTGAAGTGAGTTCCGGATTGCTTTGCTGGGTGCCATGTGTTTCATTTTGTTCCCCTCCCAGTAGTAGTACTAGTAGTAGTACACTGTCCTACTCCAAACGACAAAACTAACTTTGCTTAATATTTGTTAGCGCCATTACTAATGGGAAACTACTTTTGTTCAGTCTTACTAGTAATAAAGGAGTTCTAGTAGTAGTATTACTACTATAATTTCCCAAAACATTTTTTCAAAATGCAAGCAATCTTTTTGCATGCCTGAATTTTATCTTCAGTTCTGAAAATTATCACCACCTAGGATTCCTACTGCTGATTCCTACATAGTACATACCTGAACAGTGTCTTCTGGCATCTGAACCAACATGGTGGCATCCCCTTTGGAAGGGGAAAATCCACCTCCCTAGTATCCATTAGAGCACTACTCTACTCTCCAAGAACCCTAATATGATTAATTACCATGCCCCCAGCTGCTGGTAGCTTGCCTCAGCTGGATCCATCCCCACCAGTTCCTTGGGGAGTACCAGTCTTGAAGAGGCTGTTTCCAACATTTGTGTTGGACAACACTGACACCAACCCAAGCCCCCAGTACCCATCTTAGTAGTAGACCTTTGAAGAACACTGCATGGAGTATATGCTACTTCCTCAGTTTAAACAAGATTCCAAAGCTCCATTCACCAGTTCCAGTATTCTTTCCAGACCAGAAGCAGTACTTTCTAGTCACAATATTGTTGTTTTGGACATCTGTGTTGGACAGCACCAACAACAACCTAGGCTCTTTTCAAACAATCCAACCAGGCTGATACTAACAGGATCAGTATCAGTCCCCAGTAGCCCCACTAGCTACTTGTAGCAGTGTGCCTCAGCTGGGTCCATCCCCACTGCTGATGGACTGCAAGAAGATTTTGGTCATGATATTGTTGTTTTCAATATTTGTGCCAGACAACACCACCACCAACCAAAGCCCCCGGTATCTATCCTAGACCTTTGAAGAACATTGTCTGGAGTATAAACAAAATAATCAGTTTTAAGGAACAAGATTCCACAGCTCAATGTATTCCAGTGGGAAGCAGCATTTTTCAGTAATAATGTTGTTATTTCTGACATTTGTGTTGGACAGCAGCAGCAGCAGCAGCAACAACAACAACAACAACAACAACA